ACGCGTGACAGTGTGAACGATGAATGACTCTGTGTCCAATTTCTCCACTTGGAAAGCGGAGTCTGCGCTCGTTTGCGTGGGATTCGCCGTCATCTTCCTGCTCGGCACGGTGGGGAACTCTCTGGTGCTCGCGGTCCTGTTTCGCAGCGGGCAGATGAACACCAAAACCACCAACCTGTTCATCCTCAACCTGGCCATCGCGGATCTGTGCTTCATCGTGTTCTGCGTGCCCTTCCAGGCCACTATCTACACTCTGGATGAGTGGGTGTTCGGACCTGCAGTCTGCAAAGTGGTGCACTTCATCATCTTCCTCACCATGTACGCGAGCATCTTCACCCTGACAGCCGTGTCCCTGGACAGGTGCGCGATCTCTGCAGTTTATGAGAGTTGCTCTGGCCTGTTAGCCGCTTCTGTAGCGTGTCTACTTTCAGATTACTGAAACAAAACCTAAAACACCTAAAGAACTTAACTATTATTCTTTATGTCTTTTTTATATAAAACCTCAGACAGCTTCAACCCGTCGGGCTAGGTTTCCTTTGAGCATGAGGGTGACCATTAAGTCACAATGTCCCGATTTCTAGTGGATTTCGTGCATTTTCTTTATCAATTTAAGATGAAAAATGTCTTTTACATAAATGGAAATAGACAAATTAGGCAACAGGTGATACTTCAGCAATTAATGGAATCTAATCGAGAGCAGCTCAGAGGATTCAGTTCTACTTTTAGATCGTTATTCTCTAAACATTCTCACACAGACATGATTTGTTCTTCCATCTTTGTTGTGTTTGCGTTATTATAGGTTTCAGCCCTGGAGTGTAATGGTTACACTGTTCTGTCTGATATCAGATCAGTTTTAAAAGACGGAACTGATCTGATATCAGATTGAGATGGAGATGAAAAACCATCTTAAATCCTCAAGTCAACAAAAAACAGCACGTCTGCGCATGTTTTAAACTTTCTGATATTAAGACGGTGTTGAGGCAAACTTTCAATAATTGTTTCAAAAACTGTGGGTCACAATATTTTTAATTCTCATGCAGGAAAAAATCAAGGAGGTTCTCATTTCTTCTGAAATTCTCAGAAATCTGGTCAGAATAGAGCCTAGATGTTCCCAAGGTTACTGTAATTAACTGAAACTGAAGTAAAAAATAAAAATAAAAACTCGACTCTTAAAAAATGTAAACCAACTGAAAAGATTTGACTCTGGATGTCAGCAAGACTGTGAGTCAACATCTTTACAAAGTTCTGTTTTTATTATAAGGCTGGTTTCCTCTGATCTATGCCATCTGTACAATAATGATCAAAAAAGACCAAAACCAACATGAAACTCATAAGAACTCAACTAAAATTAAGCATTTTCAACCAATAGAAATTAAACTGAAACAAACAAATCTGCTCTGGAAACTAAATGAAAAAAAGTCAAAATGAACTAATAATAATAAATAAAAAAAGAAAAATACAAAACTCTGTCCCAAAAAGGAGCCTGCCATGTTTCTAGTGTAGAGTACTTAAGTTTTATGAATTTAATATACTACACAGTGGAAAAGAACTCTGCTAAACAAATTTTATAACAAATCATTTTGATTTTTTAACAAGGCAAAGATGTGTTTATGTCACACCCCTTACAGCAAGCTTTATTAACATTTGTATTACAAATCCGAACATGAGCAGCGACCCGGACTCTTTCATCACTGCAGGAGCCTCAGACTGGACTGGAAACACCAGTGCTGTAAAAAAAAACGATCTTAAAAATCATAAAACAGAAAAAGACAAGTCAGAGGCGACAGGTGTACAAGACGAACCCCGTCAAACCCGCAGGCAGTCATGCTCAGCTTGCATCCTGGTATTTATCCCAACACACCCAGGTCTGGGCCTCAGGGACAGATGCAGTGTGATTGGAGTCATCCTGTTTTTAATGATTTCTCCGAGATACAGCGAGACGGATGGCACAGAAGAGAATGTTAATGGGAACATTTGTTTGTTTAAAGTCTCCAACTGAATGGTCGAGATTACAGAGAGCAGACAGCTCTGGGTACAAGTGGACAGAGGTGAGGCCGACCCTGGGCCAGACTCAGACACAAACATACGAAGCACTGATCTGATACATATGTTACAGTCACAGCTACAGAAGCACGCGAATCTGTAATCTCAGACTCTGAACTACCAGCTCAGCTCACAGTAGAGTTGCTTTACGTTTTCTACTTTTATTCGAATGCTTCTTTTCTTCAAATTAGCGGCACTTTTTCTTCATCACTTTGAAATATCTCTTATTTCAAAAATTCAATTCCTGCAAACAGCACTGTGCACGTTTATAGGCACTAAAATTAAAAGAAAAAAACATTTTTTGTCTCAGAAACATCCATAACCTTTGCACGGCGCTCTGTACATCCGCCTACAAAGCACGAAAAGTTTACTTACACTCGTCTTATCATATTAATTTGAGTCTGCACAACATCTGAGGATTACAAATGAAGGGAAATAAAAACTCTGAGCCAAGAAATTGAGTTAGAGTGTGCAGGGAACCAGGGGAGAGCTGATAATGATGACATTTGTCTTCATAAATTTCAGGTAGCACAAACATACAAGCAGCAAGATTTGGTTTATTTCTGTGTCCTGCACTTTGTATGAAGGTAACTGATGGATTAAAAAGTCTTTGTGTCATTATTTTTACAGGCAGCACAGTGTTCCACATGTGGCAGATATGACAAAAATTACATCTTCTAGCTTTAACTATCTGGCAAGATCCAAAAATCAGTGTGCTCAGTGGTCATATTTAGAGTTTCTCTTTTAATAAAGATGTTTCTTAGTGAGTGATGATTATGTAGCTTTGCTAAGTGTTTGAACTGTAGGCCAACCTGGTTAACGTTTGAGGCAACGTGTGGTTAACATCTGGCGTAGTTTAGACTCACATCTGGTGCCAGAACCGAAACCCAGCATAGAGCCAGCTGTGGTCACACAGCAAGCTGAAGCATCAAAAAACTGCAGTTCCTATTACGGCCACTTGAGGGTGGCTTGTTTCTGCGAGTATCAAAGTCCCTAAAAACACAATTCAATTCAAACTTTAAAGACCTTTGAACAGCCTCGAGAACTGTTGTTTAAGAGCACTTTAAAAAAGACAAGTCTGGATCCTTGGAAGCAAAATATATTTTTAAAAAACAGTTAAAATTGTATAAATGCTTTGGCTGTTTTTATGATGTTAATGGTCGATTTTTAATGCCGTTATCAGATATGGCTCTATGATTATCATTGTATAATACAGACAGGGGTGATCATATATTTATATATGTTGGTTTGCTTTACTGTTTCTGCTCCATCTTTATTTTTTGAGATTTCATACTGTATTTGTAGATCACGTGTCTTCCTCTGCTCCTACAGGTATTTAGCCATTTGCTACCCGCTCCGCTCCCGAGAGATGAGGACGCCAAAGAACGCACTCACCTCCATCGGCCTCCTCTGGGCCCTGGCCTTGGTTTTCTCTGGACCGTATCTCAGCTACTTCTCACAGATGGACCTGGCTGGCACTGTTGTGTGCATTCCTACATGGGAGTCCAAACCTCGCATCATAATGGATATGTGCACGTTTGTCTTCGGCTACCTCGTTCCCGTGCTGGTGCTCGGCCTCACCTACGCCCGCACCATCCGATACCTGTGGACCAGCGTGGGCCCCTTGAAGGACATGTCCGAGTCGAGGCGGGCCAAGTGGAAAGTCTCCAAGATGATCATCATAGTCGCTGCTCTCTTCTGCCTTTGCTGGCTTCCCCATCACCTGGTAATCCTCTGCATGTGGTTGGGCCGATTCCCGCTCAACTACACCACCTATGTCCTCCGCATCCTCTCACACTTTGTGGCCTACGCCAACTCCTGTCTCAACCCCATCGTCTACGCCCTCGTGTCAAAGCATTTCCGCAAAGGCTTCAGGAAGGTGTTCAGCTGCTCGCTGAAGAGGAGGGAGGTGAATAAGGTGCATGTTCAGGCAGTGAACATGGTCAGCAGCATCGATGTGTCCAATTAAAGGTAACAGCCTCAGAGGAAGAGCCAGCCATCTACCACATGCTGAGTTCTAAACTAACAACGCTGATCACAGAAGATCAAGGAGGTCTTCACAACAGTCTCCCGACCTCCAGGACATTTTTAGCCATCAAAGGCTGGCAGATGGCAACATTGTCTACAAATTCAGTCGAGGAGTCTGTTACACAAGACTGTTTCGCAATCTTTACTTACATGTAAATTAAAATGTACTAAGTCGGATCAGTTAATTAAAGTCAAAATCAGCACGAGAGAAGATGATCTTCACGAAACTGTCTTAAGGTTGAGATGTCTCAGTTAATTTAAAAATATATAACAGATACTAGCTTTGGATTAAATTGATCCAATAGATGTCTGGGCACCCTCAGTGATGCTTTCTAAGGCCAGCACTTGGTGTGATCGCCTGATTGGATCCTGGATTTGATGACGGGCATTCCTATGAGTGAATTGATGTAGTCTGTTCGATGTGATGCCAAACCTGACTGACACTGGTGTTCCCCACTGGGACTTTTTCTGTCCATGCATTGTCCCAGAAATGATCAGTGTACTTGAATGAGTTGTTGTACATAGAGAATATTCATGGTCCCCATTGGATGAATCGGACCTTCCCTCTATCCCAGCCGGCCGGCAGGTGAAACCTTAGATGTGACCTGTAGTTTCTGTCGCTCTGGGCGTGTGAGCTTGAGAACAAAACAGTCACTGTCTTTAGCTTTTATTTCATGCTGTTTATATGCAGTAGTGGAGAAATCTGTGTATGGAAGGTTGTCTACTGACACAGCCCGGCTCAAAAAGGAAAGACCAGACAAGGCAGGGACTTAGAAAATGATCATTTATTACCCAAACACGACTAAATCGAAAGAATGTGTTCATCAGGAGTGTAAAGCACACACAAAGCGTGTAGAAAGTAAGGAAAATCCCAGGAATTGTGCTGTAGATAAGACAGTCCGAGTCAGAGTCGGGACAGAGAGCCTTGGAGAAAGGAGGGAGCTTTGCTTCGCTGGGCTCAGGGAGCTAATTATCCCCCCATTAGCTCCTGCAGAACAAAGCACGGCACAAAAACCAAAACTAAGACAAGCATTTTCTGACTCGTTCTCCGGCGTCACTCTAACACCTTAGTTCACCTCAGGATTACTGCTAATCTCTTAAAAAGCTGTAATTAAATAGATAAATAATTGATTGATCGCACAAGCGAAATTACAGTGTTACAGCAGCAGCATGAAAAATAAACATAGTACAGTTTACAATAAATAAACAACATGAAGTGGCACAGGTGTGCAGTCAGAGCTTTACACTGTGAGAGTGCAAAAGCACACAGCAGTATGTTTGAGTAAAATGCTCCTGAAAAATATAAAATCATTTAAATAATTAATCATTAAGGAAAATGTGCTCAGTATTAACTGAATGTGTCGCAGTCAAGTACATTTTATTTGAATATATTCCATTAAATTCATTTTTTAATGCTTTATTTTAGAAAAAACTTTAATGGAACATTTACAGTTGAAATGGGGCCGTTACGCACATTTGGGATGCGTACCTGAATTCAACATTTTGGTTTCCATATTCAAACATTTATTAGTAGTTGAAAAATAAAGGTGTAAAAACAGTTGGAAAAGGCTCAGCCTCCACGCCATCCGCCCGAAAGTTGATGGAGACACTGACATTTACATATTTAAACTTGAGTCTGATTACGACACTAAATATTTTATTAGCTCCGTTAACTTCTGTTTTATGTTGTGCTTCAGTGTAGCTGCTACATTATTACATGCCAGACAGAGTTTCAGTCGCCGCATTAAAACAACAAAAAGTGTGTTTAATGCACCCGGTCCTGCTCTGCGTGTTTCTGTGACTGCTATTCAGCTACATACATATGTTGATTCTTACTGTATGTCATAAAGGGCAAAATATCATGAATCTACGTCTCACGCGTGGAGTGTTTCTCTCTCAGGACTGTAACAGAAGGGGTTCATTTCAGCTGTGTCTAAATGACCTGATGCTTTTATTAATATGTAACTCGGGTGTTTTGTGTGCACATGTACTCAGCATGAGGACGCTGCGCAGGAGGTCACGCAACAAGGCCCAGAGCTGTGCTAAAGACACACAAAGAACATTTTAAAGCGCGAGGCCATGTTAGCATTTCTTATTTAGTGACTTGACTTTAAAAAGCACTTTTTAAAAGTGTGTCAGCCAATTACAACAAAAAAACAGAGGGATGCATAAAAACCAAGACAAAGATAAAGCGCTGCTTATTAAATGCTTTTTTGTGGTAATAAACAATAAATAAATAACATTTTTAGATACAGGCAAGCTGTGAATCATGAAGATGTGAAATACAATAAATCGTCATTTTCATGTCACAGCTGACTCACTGAGTCAGACATCTTGTTGAAATCACACTTTTCTTTAATCTCAGGCTGCTCATCAGGTCATTACGAACAGATCGCTCATTAAAATGGCAAAAAATATTTCTGTCAGATGGTTAAAGGTCTGGTGTAAGAGCTTCTTGTTTTAATATATGTATGTAGGCTGTCAGTACGTATACTTTTACTGGTCAGCTGCTGTTTGTTGATTGTATTTAGCTGGCAGTGTACCAACAGAGAGCTGATCTGTTACTGTGAAGTGAGGCGTTCCTGGTGTTTTATATGCAGAAGTGTTGCTGTGACGTACAGATCATGGTCAGAGCTGTTAAAATAACACCACTGAGCTGCATCTGAACATGTTGTTTTTGGTGTCTGTGAAAAGAGACACCTGTAAATAACTTTGTTGGTTTAAAGCATTTATTTCTGTCCATTCTGCTACTGTTGTTCAATAAAGCTCCGTGAAATCATTTTGACAAAGGAAGAAGCTTCCTCTCGTCTTCACAGCCGGCACTTAAAATATAAAAACCACCTCGTGGTCGTCCTCGACTGAGAAAGTAAAGAATTTAAGAGCGTGTGGGCAGATGCGTTTGCTGATCTGAAGCTGGACTCGAGTCAAAATGACATCAGCTGCGCTCATTTTAAAATGTGCTATAAAAATAGACTTGATTCGATTTGTGACATGGGACAGGAAAACAGCACAAGTCAAGGTCAAGGATAAACTTTTTATCACCAAGGAAACCAGACCTGAAGATGCTGAGGTCTGGTTGCTGTGGCGATGAGAACTGTCCTCTTTACCCTGAAGAGGAATGATGGTAACACACACAGACACACACACAGCTTGATTGTTAGTGTTAAAGACTCCAGGATAAGAAAAGAATCTGAGCTGTTATAACGTTGGCTGATGCTCGTTCTGAAGGTGCCGTCAGGCTGATAAATGTTCGTCTACGCTCAGCACGTGAGAGCACAGCTGTTAGCTGCCCGCTGGAGGAAGAACCGAAAACAAGGAACTAAAAGATGCTAACATGTTCCAAGAAGCTCTTTAGTCTTTAGTTCATTCTGTGTCTGAAATCAGCTGTTTCACCTCCTCAGCCATTAACCCAGCTTTCTTCTGATTGGCTGCCTGTCACAAACAGAAGGTGGGTGAGGTTTCTATAAGTGTGAATGTCTGTATCACAACAAACCAGCACGCAGGTTCGGTCAGAGTTCCCTTTTTATTTGTCTGAAATGTTGAGCTGCAGTGGCTAAATTACATAAATACGTAAGTTCACGTCTTTGTACAAAACATTGTTTAGACACTACAAGGCTGAGAGCAGCGCGGGCGGGGGGGTTCAGGCGTAGCAGCCCGTGTTTCTTTGGGGTGGGGAAGAGGAGACTCCTCAGGCGGATGTGTCAAACAGCTTTTCGATCATCTCCTCCACCTCCTCCGGTCGATACTTGTGATACTTCTCGGGGTTCTTGGTGAAGGAAATGTTGGCACATCTGGAAGAAACGTGAACAATGAAATATGAGTGTGAAAGAAATCCGAGCAGATCATTTCAGCCTTATGGATTAATTATTATTAGGTCACATTTTCCTAATTCAAGACAAGCGCTACATTTAAGTCACTCCGTTAAAATAAATCGGTGCCTAACAGCAGACCTCTCAGAATCAGATGATTGTTTCTGACAGTAAACGGGTCTTAATCAGATTCTCGTGCTACAGTGTTGTTTAGCTGTTTGTTGCTAGGTGGTTGCCAGGCAACATAATGATGTCATAACATCATTATGTTTCGCAATGAAATTTTTGTGGTTATAAATTAAAAGAGAAGATGGTTTTATGAGGTGTCACAGGTGCATGCGTGCTGGTAACATGTGAGGTGACATCTCGAACCTTCAGGGAACTTTCAGGATCCTTTGATGCACCAGTTTTGGCAGCTTCACCCCCCGATCATGCAGGAGGTTTGCAAAAAGAGATTTTTCAGCATGCTTGAAGAAAATCACGGAGGGTGTCGGGATCAACAGAACATGTGAGCATGAGCAGCAGATGAGGGCACTAAATTTCTAACGTTTAGTAATGTGACTAAAAGGGGGCACGCCATCTTAAGCTATGTAAAAAAGAGCAACAGGCTAAGAGAGCATTCACTGATCCCGAGATGCTCTGTGATTATTTTCTCCATTTCACAGAAGGAATCACAGCTTAAAGGTGAGATTAGTATTGAAACAAAAAGAGCCTCCATATTCTTGTTGACCACCCATTAGCTAAAAACCTGTCCCACACAGAAATCTGAATAATGTTCTTATCAACATCTGCCTCCAGAATATTTGACGAAACGATGTTTTAGGTCAAATCCTCGACTCCAGACTTGTTTGTGTGAGAGCGTCTCTGACCTCTGCAGGAAGGCTCTGTAGGCATCAGACACCACCTTCTTCTGATTGTGCCGGATGAGGTCTCTCTGCTCTTTGTCCGGGATGGCCCAACCCTTCTGGATCTTACACAGCTCCTCCAAACCGTCATTGAAGCCCTGACAAAGAGAGACTGACGTCAGTTTCTTACTCAGTAACAGCTGCATTTTACTTCATTTGATTACAGCCTCACCTTGAATTTGTCTTTAACCACTTGTCGCTCTTTATCTTTCAGCTGGAGGAAGACAAAACACACATGTGTATGAGCCAGAAGCTCCAGTTACACAAAACAGACGAGAGGCAGCACCAAGCCTTAGTATAAGTTTATAAGATAAATAAGCCTTATATTGACCGGTGAATCATGCAAAGCTACTCTCATAAAGTCCAAGAATAAAAATAAGGATGAGCAGAACGGGTCTCCATAACAACCATTAGATACTGGATATATTTGATCAAACGCACTGAGCGCTGCGTTCGTTACTAACATCTCTGCTAAGTGTTACACCTCCCACAGGAGAAATGCTGACCTTGGTGCCGGGCTGTACGACGGGCATGTTCCTTTCTGTCAGGTGCTCGGTGACTTTCAGCCAGCTGAGGCGGAAACAAAAAGCACGGGCGTGAAGACAAAGACACAAATCGTGTTCGAGTTTGACGCGCGAAGCTTTTATTCGCTCACCTGCGCTGGTATGTTTCGATCTGCTGAGTCATGAGCTCTTTGTAGGACGTCTCCGCTCGCTTCTGAGTCACCGTCACCAGCTGGATCAGCTCAGACCTGAGGACGCAGGAAACATTTATCCCAAACTAACTTGCTGTCAGTGATCACTTCATTTATTAGGACATTACACCCCAAAAAAATAAAAGCAAAGAAGAAAGTGTGTGTGTTACTCCACTGCACACCCACGCACATGTCAACAGTCTGACCTCGGACTAACCTCCGAAATCAGACCTCATCAAATATAATTAAGCCCCCCTCCCAGCTGATCTCACTGAGCAGCTGATCTTAGACCGCCCCGTGTTCACGTGTATGTTCCACTCCCTTCGTTGTCATTATGACCACAAACAGTTTCGTGACAGTCGGCGCCTTGGCAACCAAAAAACTGAGCTTTAAGAAAAGTAGGAACAATTGAATTTGACCTCAAACCCTGATCTTTTCTAACTGGAGAAAATTATTAATCTTAACTAATTTACTAGTAGCTTATTTCCTCCATAGTCTGCAGTTGTTTTTATGCTTGAATGATTCACAGGTCAGTGTGAAGGAGTGTCCTCTGAAAAAGGTTCAGAAACTGGACTGAAAGCGAGTGAAAAAGCAGAAAAACTGAAAGCCTTTCTGAAGTCCTTCTCTTTGGGAACAACACGTTTTATATAATTTGATTTATTTATTTAAATGAGGGTTGCTCAAGACTTTAGTTTCTGTTGAATATTTTCAGGAGGTGATGACGTGGCTGACGTGTAGGTTTCTCAGCAGGAGCTACTAAGATGACTGACAGACGGATTTTGGCACAGCCTGCAGGTGTAAATGGTAAACGGACAGGTACTGTTAAA